TTACACACCCGCTGTCTACACACCCACTGTTACACAACTTTTAATGTTTTTTGTGTCTCTGCTGGATCATGTTGCATATTTTTGGATGTCTTCTTGCTCTGTACCTTTTCTTGGAGACACTGGTGAATGCATGACCTGCTTTACAAATGTCTATTTATCTACAAGAGGTGACTGCGGAGGAGAAAAGTTAATATATATTTTATGAAAGCGCAAATTTTAAACTGTTTTTTGTTATTTTGGACTAATTTACACAGAGGTGTCTCGGAGCACGTTCACGGTTCACTTGTTAGAATGTTGGGGCAAGAGATTTTTTATTTTCTGAAATGCAGAGGCAGCACTCGGAGACATGACTGCTTTGAGCTTTTATTCAAGTAAAGTCTTTCTGTCGCACAATCTTTGTCTCTTGTTAATATTATTCATGACTTAATGTTGAATGGGAGATTTATTTATGCGTCATATAGGGCGACAGTGGCTCAGTTGGTAGAGCTTTGGCCTTTGAGCCTGAAGGTTGTGGGTTCGAGCCCACCATGAGACCTACTTCACTACTCTCACTGATGTCTGCTGTCGTCGTGTCCTTGGGCAAACCCCACTTTGCCTGAAGCCCCAGCGGAAAGATCAAGGCTCCTGTGGACTCACCATTTTCTTCCCCTTAATCCATTTCTGGGTCGATGGATGTTTCAATAATAATAAAGTCATTGGTTTAATTCAGCTTCTTCACATGTCATTATTCATTCACTCCATACTCGGTGAGAAACTGCTGCTGTAGCCAGAGCTGCCCTGGGGCACACTGACAGAAGCGAGGCAACCAGTCTGTGTCATCGGCCCCTCCCATCGGCACACTGCAAAATATGAGGTCATTGCTCAAATCAAGTGTTTTTAATCTTAATCTTATTATTTTCCCATTTCCAGGGAGACACTTTTTTTAAAACAATATTATTTTGCAGTCAGAATTTGCTCAATTTAAGTAAGTAGTAAGTAATCTTTATTTATATATACCGCCTTTTCACTGCAGATCTGAGTCTCAAAGTGGTTTACAATTGTTAATTTAAGATAAATTTTACAAAATTTGAGCAATTTTTAAGCTTCTTTTTCATCTCTTTTTGCAGTGCACCAATCATTCACACACACACCAGACTCATTCTAATGTGGATGAAGTGTCTTGCCTAACGAGTAAGGACACAACCGCAGTTTGTCACTTTACAGCCGCCCCACTGTGGCACCTGATGTTCCCACAGGTCTCCCATCACAGTACTAACCAGGCCCTGCCCTGCTTAGCTTCAGAGGTCTGACAGGTGCCATTCAAAACATGTCTTTGGGGAAATACACACTGGATTTCCATTAAAGGTTGTGACATAAAGAAGCCAATACTTTAGAATGAGTCTGGTGTGTGTGGTGGGAGGGGCCGATGGCACATACTGGCTGCCTCGCTTCTGTCAGTGTGCCCCAGGGCAGCTGTGGCTAAAGTAGTAGTTTACCACAGTGTATGGAGAGAAAGAATAATGACATGTGAAGCATCTTTGAGCGTCCACTAAAGCACTTTATAAAACCATTATTATTATTATTATTAAAAGTTTTGAAATCTGATAACGACTTTCAAAGAACCGGGTGTTATACAGTCACCAGTGTTTAATTCATATTTACAAAAATGTATAAAACAAAACAGTATAATGGTGTCGCCGTTACAGTCTGGCTTCTGTTATAAAATAAAGTCTATTTTTAAAAGGTTCAGTGATCACACACACGTCACGACTGTTCCCAGAATCTGTTCCGGCGAAGGCTTTGATTAGGAACACATTCAGTGGATTTGTCAAATGTTCGTCAGAGTAACTTAAGGTCATCAGCTCTGTTCGTAATCAATGCACCAGAGAAAATAAGGGCAGTAAGTGGGATATGGAACGAGATGCCAATACACTGCAAAAAGTGAGGCAAAATAAGTCAAAAATTGCACAAACTTGACAAAATGTGTCTTAATCTGAGCACATTCTGATTGAGCTTTAAAACAGGATTTACCAACGGGACAACGCAAAATCACCTTGTTTTAAGAAAAATATAGAAATGTCTCCTTTAGAATGAGAAATTAAAGCATCAGTTCTTGAGATAAAACTAAATGGCTCTGTATTATTATTTTTTATTTTTTTTTTATTTTTTTTTATGGGTCCCTTGAAAGCAGCTTCATTTCCTTAAACAGGACAATTAAAACAGACTGGCAAAACCTTTCAAAATACAGAATGAGTGAGTGAGTGTGAATGGGGGATGAGGGAGGGTGGGGTGTAAGTGTATCTTGTATTTTTATGTTAAACTGATTCTTTTTCTGACAGTTGAAAATAATAAAGACAAAAATAAATGGCTTTGTCCCGTTGCAGAATAATGTTTGAACTCAGTCAGAATGTGTCAGAGTGAGATAAAAACCACTCGATTCATAGGTGATAATTTTTTGCAGTGTAGCATGAGTACTGCAGTATTTCCCGCCACAAAAACATGAATCTACCACAGACTGTATATATTAAATATAAATTTTGGAACTGCAGTATTCTCTCATTCTCAGTCTGTGTCCGCCAGAGTCTGTGTCCTCCAGGGTCTGTGTCCTCCAGGGTCTGTGTCCTCCAGAGTCTGTGTCCTCCAGGGTCTGTGTCCTCCAGGGTCTGTGTCCTCCAGAGTCTGTGTCCTCCAGCAGGACTCTAGGGTCTCTACAGTCTCTACAGTCTCTACAGTCTCTAGGGTCTCTACAGTCTCCACGGTCTCTACGGTCTCTACAGTCTCTAGGGTCTCTAGGGTCTCTACAGTCTCTACAGTCTCTACAGTCTCTACAGTCTCTACGGTCTCCACGGTCTCTACGGTCTCTACAGTCTCTAGGGTCTCTACAGTCTCTACGGTCTCTAGGGTCTCTAGGGTCTCTACAGTCTCTACAGTCTCTACAGTCTCTACAGTCTCCTCGGTCTCTAGGGTCTTTACGGTCTCTACAGTCTCTACAGTCTCTACAGTCTCTACAGTCTCTACAGTCTCTACGGCCTCTACGGTCTCTACGGTCTCTACGGTCTCTACAGTCTCTAGGGTCTCTACGGTCTCTACAGTCTACGGTCTCTACAGTCTCTACAGTCTCTACGGTCTCTAGGGTCTCTAGGGTCTCTAGGGTCTCTATAGTTCCGGTTCGTAGCTGAAGCTGTATCGTCGGTACACGCAGCCCCCGCGGCTGGTGTAGACCACGTCCACGTCATCGCCGCTGTCGGGCTCCGGGACGCCGTGCGGCATGGCGGCAGCGGCGGTGGCGTTGCCGCTGAGTCTCTCGTAGCTCCGCCTCCAACAGAGCGTCCTCCTGGAGCGGGCGCGGCACAGGACCACGCCCCCACAGGCCACGCCCATCAGCAGCAGCAGCACCAGGGGCAGAGCGGCCGAGGTGTGTTTCAGGGCTTTAGAGGCCGCGCTCAGGTCCGCGCTCTGCTCTGGGCCCGCTCGGAGCACAGGGACCTCCACACACAGAGCTGCAGGGAGCACAGGGACCACAGGGAGCACAGGGACCACAGGGAACACAGGGAGAACAGGGAACACAGGAAGAACAGGGAACACAGGGACCACAGGGAGAACAGGGGGAACAGGGACCACAGGGAACACAGGGAACACAGGGAACACAGGGAACACAGGGAGAACAGGGAACACAGGGACCACAGGGAGAACAGGGAACACAGGGAACACAGGGAGAACAGGGAACACAGGGAACACAGGGAGAACAGGGAACACAGGGACCACAGGGAGAACAGGGAACACAGGGAACACAGGGAGAACAGGGAACACAGGGACCACAGGGAGAACAGGGAACACAGGGAACACAGGGAACACAGGGAGAACAGGGGGAACAGGGAACACAGGGACCACAGGGAACACAGGGAACACAGGGAGAACAGGGAACACAGGGACCACAGGGAGAACAGGGGGCACAGGGACCACAGGGAGAACAGGGGGAACAGGGACCACAGGGAACACAGGGAACACAGGGAGAACAGGGTGAACAGGGAGGGAACAGGGAGAACAGGGACCACAGGGAACACAGGGAACACAGGGAGAACAGGGGGAACAGGGACCACAGGGAGAACAGGGAACACAGGGACCACAGGGAGAACAGGGGGAACAGGGACCACAGGGAACACAGGGAGCACAGGGAGAACAGGGAACACAGGGACCACAGGGAGAACAGGGGGCACAGGGAACACAGGGAGAACAGGGGGAACAGGGACCACAGGGAGAACAGGGGGAACAGGGACCACAGGGAACACAGGGAGAACAGGGAACACAGGGACCACAGGGAGAACAGGGGGAACAGGGACCACAGGGAACACAGGGACCACAGGGAGAACAGGGAACACAGGGACCACAGGGAGAACAGGGGGAACAGGGACCACAGGGAACACAGGGAACACAGGGAGAACAGGGAACACAGGGACCACAAGGAACACAGGGAGAACAGGGGGAACAGGGACCACAAGGAACACAGGGAGAACAGGGAACACAGGGACCACAGGGAGAACAGGGGGAACAGGGACCACAGCGAGCACAGGGAACACAGGGGGAACAGGGACCACAGCGAGCACAGGGAACACAGGGAGAACAGGGAACACAGGTACCACAGGTAGAACAGGGACCACAGGGAAAACGGGAAGAACAGGGAGCACAGGGACCACAGGAGAGGGGAGCACAGGGACCACAAAGGTGAGCACAAAGGGACCACAAAGGGGAGCACAGGGACCACAGGAGAGGGGAGCACAGGGACCACTGGGAAAGGGGAGTACAGGGATCACCAGGAGAGGGGAGCACAGGGAATAACAGGTCTGGTCTCTAGTCTCTAGTCTCTTTCTTCTCTATCTGGTCCCTCCCTTGTCCCTGGTCTCTGTGGAGCTCTCATTAGAGCCCTCTCTCCTCACAGATTCTCACCCTGATGCCTTCCTGAACCAGCTGACCCCCTCGGACAACACTCTACACCTCATCGACTCTGGTCACTACATAAACATCGCAGTTCCTCCGGTTCTTCGGCCCGAGCGTGGGGTCGACCTTATCATAGTCACCAGCTGCTCCTGGAACCCCTCTAACCAGTTCAACGTGAGTGCTCCTGGTATTTACTGATGGTCTCTGTAGACAACCAGGTTCTGCTCCACAGTAGTCTCTCTCTGGTCTCTCTCTGTTCTCTCTCTGGTCTCTTTCTGGTCTTTCGCTAGTCTCTCTCTTGGTCTTGGTCCTTCTCCTTGTCCTGGTCCTGATACCATGTGTGTCCAGGTCTTGGAGAAGACTCAGGAGTACTGTAAGGACCGGAACATCCCGTTCCCGTGTCCAGACTACGAGGAGCTCAGGAAGCAGCCACTCAGAGAAGTCTACGTGTTTGAAGACCAGGAGAAACCCACAGCCCCCATGGTCCTGTTCCTGCCACTGGTCAATATGTCCTACCAGGAGTTCAAGAGACTAGGTGAGAGCTACCAGGAGTTCCAGAAACAAGGTGAGAGTTTCCAGGAGTTCCAGAGACCAAGTGAGGGCTACCAGGAGTTCCAGAGACCTGGTGAGAGCTACCAGGTGTTCCAGAGACCAGCCAGGTGAGAGCTACCAGAAGTCCAAGAAACCAGATGAGAGCTACCAGGAGTCCAAGAGACCAGGTGAGGGCTACAAGGATTCAGAGAGACCCGGTAAGACCTAACACAGATGGACAATGCTAACACGCTATCACACACTATACAGATGGACAATGCTAACACGCTAACACACATTGTATACAGATGGACAATGCTAACACGCTAACACACACTGTATACAGATGGACAATGCTAACACGCTAACACACACTGTATACAGATGGACAATGCTAACACGCTAACACACACTGTATACAGATGGACAATGCTAACACGCAAGCTCAATAAAGCCCAATAGGGAAGTGCTAATGGACGAGCTTTCATGTGTCTTTCAGGAGTTGTGCGCTCGCAGGAGGAGCTAGCCGCGGGCCGTGTGGACGTTAGCTCGCCCAATTCGCCGTATAAGACCAAAAACATGACCTACTCTGAGGAGGACTACGACGCTCTCATCGACCTCACCACCTACAACGTCCTGCACAGCAAAGACACCATTCTGTCTGCTCTCTCCACTGTAAACAGGGCTTTCCCTAAGTCTCTCTCTCTGGTCTCTCTCTCTGGTCTCTCTCTCTGGTCTCTCTAGTCTCTCTCTGGTCTCTCTCTGGTCTCCCTCTCTGGTCTCTCTCTCTGGTCTCTCTCTCTGGTCTCTCTCTCTGGTCTCCTTCTCTAGTAACTCTCTGGTCTCTCTCTCTGGTCTCCTTCTCTAGTAACTCTCTGGTCTCTCTCTCTGGTCTCTCTCTCTGGTCTCTCTCTCTGGTCTCCTTCTCTAGTAACTCTCTGGTCTCCCTCTCTGGTCTCTCTCTCTGGTCTCTCTCTCTGGTCTCCTTCTCTAGTAACTCTCTGGTCTCTCTCTCTGGTCTCTCTCTCTGGTCTCTCTCTCTGGTCTCCCTCTCTGGTCTCTCTCTCTGGTCTCTCTCTCTGGTCTCTCTCTCTGGTCTCTCGCTCTGGTCTCCTTCTCTAGTAACTCTCTGGTCTCTCTCTCTGGTCTCTCTCTCTGGTCTCTCTCTGGTCTCCTTCTCTAGTAACTCTCTGGTCTCTCTCTCTGGTCTCTCTCTCTGGTCTCTCTCTCTGGTCTCTCTCTCTGGTCTCTCTAGTCTCTCTCTGGTCTCTCTAGTCTCTCTCTGGTCGCTCTGGTCATATACCTCAGCTTTAAGGAAGTCATCTTTTCTTCTGCCTCTACTGAAAACTTTCAAGTTAGCGATCATCATATATTCACTTTCATCTCATCCTCAGTGATGTAGAGGGAAGTGTTGTTGCAGGTAAATGTTTAAAATGTGTGGCTTCTGGTTCAGTCAACTTGTTTATTAAGTCAGGGGTTTGAGGCGGTATGGTGCGGGTTTATAAGAATCTATGTATTATGATTCTTTACCACATATATTGATGTCACATGTTTTCTGCTTCACCTTAAAGAACAAGAGCAGTGAGTTAACGAGATGTTCATTAAAAACCAATACAACAGAAAGATTCTAATCTTCTCTAATCTGCTCAATCTGCTCAATGCTAACCAGCTCCCTGTTATCCTGGTGCTTATGTTGGGATATTGTCTTTGTAAATCCAGAAATGAGCCATGAGCCATAGTCTTGGTTCTGGTCCTCAGACCCTGGTCTCTGTGGGTTCCAGTATCTTAATTAATTTTAAGATAACGATGCCTGTTTTCAAAGGTTTAAATGGTTCGGCCCCTGTGTATCTGTCAGAGCTGTTATCTCTGTATGCCCCTGAGTGAGGTATAAACCTGCTTCTGTTGAATGTGCCCAGGAGGTCAGGCCTTTACTGTTGCTGCCCCCAAACTGTGGAATAGTCTCTGTTCATTAGAGCAGCTCCTTCATTGGAAGTTATTAAATCTAGTTTGAAGACAATATTTCACACATTGGCTTTTAACACCAATTGAGTTTTACCATTTTACTTTTACATGTATGTGTTTCAAGCTGTTTTCTTTTATTTTTTCATCTTTCGTGCCTGTGAGCAGCTGGTTGTTGTAAATGTGCTATACAAATAAAGTTGACATTGACGTTGACATTCCACAGGTTCGTGCAGATAAACATACAGAGGCTTTTTAGCCGCCCTGACGTTCGACGCTCCGCTCCTGAATGCCAGGCTCCTCGAAGCGATATTTAGGTCTTACGGCGCCTCCCTGCGCGCGGCGCGTCCGTCCCAACCCGTCTCGACTTACGACCAGTCCCCCCGCGCGACCTCCTCCCCCTCCACACTGATCGCGCTCACCGCCCATACTTCGCGCCCGTTTGCGTTCCGGCGTCCGAGACGCGTTGCCCAGTGTACTACTCGCCGACGGTCGCCAGCGCTTTAACGGCCGCCTTCTGCGTCTTCACGATGCGCCCTTCCCGGCCCGCCTGGCGTAAGCAGTACAGATCGCCGCGTGTCAGATCGAGCCACTCGCCCCAGCTGCCCTTCACGCTTATTAAGCCGCGACGCTCTTGATCTCGCGTTCAATCGCCGTATTCGGCACCGTCGACCGCTGAAGCGCCGCGCTCCCGTTGGCAGACCGCTTTCTGCACCCCTCCAGCGCCTTTCGTCCGACCTACTGCGCTTCCCCGAGCCTGCGGCCCGGCGCTCGACCGCCTATGCCTGCGCCTACCCCCCTTCGCCTTCGTCTGAGAAGGCGCGATCGGCGCCCGCCGTCACCAAGGGAGGTGTAGAAAGCAGGAGAAGAAAAGGCAGGGACCTCTCCAAGGAGGACTCTTGTCTACATCCATCTGCTCCTCGCTCCGTCCCCCTACGCGCTCCGCGCGCTACCCGCGCGAGACGCCACTACAACCCACACCCGCCCTACGCTCGCCCCCGCACTTCGTGCGCACCCTGCGCCGCGCTGCGAGCTCCCCGGCATTCGCCTCTCGCCCACGCTCCGCGCTCGCCGCTGCGATTTCGCCACTTCGGATCGCGGCGGGCGCCACCCTCCCGCCTCGGCGCCCTCCGCCCTCGCGCCTTTACGGCGACGGGCCACGCTGGCCCCACCGCTCACCCTTCAGGACGCGCCAGTGGCGCTCTCCAGTTTGCGCGTCACTTGAGGTCGGACCCTCTTTTGGTTTATTAGTGTTTACTAATATTGTATCAGGTTTTCTGGAGCGGGGCCAAACCCCAGCCAGATCCCAGCGGTTAGGAGACGCGGGGTGGCTCCTCTGATTGAGGTGTCGAGTGTGGGGTTACCGGTGATAATTGTTGTGGGTAGTTGATTAGGTGGTTATGGGGGGGCCCGAAAGGTTGTGATAATACATAATCCCATGTCAGTGATTGTGATCGCTAATGGTACCCTTTCTCTTTACTTTCTGCGTTGTTTTGTCATGAGCAGAGGGAGGGGGGGGGGGGGGGGTTTATTGTTCGGCGGCGGGCTGAATGTACACAGCTGCAGAGTCGCGGCCTGAAATTTGACCAATTACACCGCAAGGACTTTCTTAGCCAGATTGTTTCAAATGTGTCGTCTGCCTCTGGCAAGATCAAACATTGTATCATGAGGTCTACGGAGGAAGTGTAGAGGGAGAGACAGGTAATGTGTTCACTGACATAAATGATCAGACCGATGGGTTGGCATTTGTACGTTTACTTTGCACTTGTGGTAATACGTACAGACGTGATGGCAATATATACAGTCTATGGTTGATGCAGCCGTTACTATTTGTCGGCTCGAGTATCTTAGAGTATGTGGGGCGTTCTCGAGAGTACTCCATACAAACAATTATTAACATTAAGACAGTATGGGCCAGAGAACTGTAGGATCAGTTTGGTCCCTCGCTAGTGGGGTGCTGTGGGTCAGACGCAAACTCTCTTAACTGCGGAAGCGGGGAGACCCGCGCACAAAACCCAATGCAACGCTAACGAATTGAGACGCACCGGTGCGGCCGTTAAGTGAGATTGCCAGTGGAAAAGAGCTATTTTACAGCTAATGCCTTATCCCGTATTATGATGCACTGCAAATTTCACGACGCCCTCTACAATTATTTAAACATAGTATCAGGGCGTACACACGCGTAATTCTAATCCGTGCGAGTTGAACTAAACATGTTTCACTTCCCGGTAATCGCGTTGACGACGAAATGTATCAATACTATAAAAAAAGGAAAATTATTGCAGTTGTTCTAGTTCCGAAAATACTTCGGTTATTATAATATATATATAATAAATACAATTTCAATATGTTCGCTCTATATATTATATGTGTCTTTAAGCAAGGAAAAAAAAACTAAGATGGGTCATTTTTTGCCTCCCACTATTTGCTACGCAATAATCGGCCCCTTGCTCCACTATCCTTCTCTCAGGGTCCGGTCACCTCCTTTCGGTTGTGCAGGCGTTTTCTTCCACACATTTTCCTTCCAAAAACTTACACTGAGGTGAGTACAGCAGCTACTGGGAACTATCGCTCAGAAATGTCTTCTGGTGTCTAA